GAATCGTTACTCAGGGACACAGAATTGTTACTCAGGGACACAGAATCGTTACTCAGGGACACAGAATTGTTACTCAGGGACACAGAATTGTTACTCAGGGACACAGAATTGTTACTGAGGGACACAAATCGTTACTGAGGGACACAGAATCGTTACTGAGGGACACAGAATTGTTACTCAGGGACACAGAATTGTTACTCAGGGACACAGAATTGTTACTCAGGGACACAGAATTGTTACTCAGGGACACAGAATCGTTACTCAGGGACACAGAAATCGTTACTCAGGGACACAGAATCGTTACTCAGGGACACAGAATTGTTACTCAGGGACACAGAATTGTTACTCACAGGACACGTTACTCAGGGACACAGAATCGTTACTCAGGGACACAGAATCGTTACTCAGGGACACAGAATCGTTACTCAGGGACACAGAATCGTTACTCAGGGACACAGAATTGTTACTCAGGGACACAGAATTGTTACTGAGGGACACAGAATTGTTACTGAGGGACACAGAATCGTTACTCGGGGACACAGAATCGTTACTCGGGGACACAGAATCGTTACTCGGGGACACAGAATTGTTACTCAGGGACACAGAAATCGTTACTTTCTGCTTCACAACCACTATTGAATTAAAGAGTATGTCAGACAACACGCAGAGGAGTGGCAGAGGAGGCAATGTTTCAGGAGCGAGCAGACGTGGCAGCAGAGGAAGGGGTCGAGGCAGCACTAGTCGCAGCCAGAGGCCAGTGCTCCCCGGTGTCATCCAGCGGTCGTGTCTCCACCGACAACCCTGCCGTCATCGATTGGTTGACTCGGTCGTCTTCCTCTTCCCAGGTCACCTCTGACACCTACAGCCAACGGTCGGTGGGTACGTCAGACACAACCGTTAGTTGGCATGGCCCGGGAGCAAGCCCACTGAAATCACGTGTCCTCTACCTGCCCCTGTCCTTTGGTGTTCCCTCACCAAGCGAAGTATCGCATGCTGTGGGCTCAGCCCCACTGTACAGTGAGGAAGAGCTAACAGAGGGCGGTCAGGAACGGGGGGAGACATCCGCCTCTTCAGCAGCCAGGCGAAGAAGTACTGGCGAGGAGAGTGGCTCGGTAGCCGGTCTAGAGACAGGTCTGTCTCCTGACCCACACGCAGCCGAGGGGGCTAGTAGTGACGCGGAGACCCTAATTGATGATGATGAGGCTGATCGCACTTGGCAGCCTCGTCGTCATCAGGCTATTGCTTCCGCATCATCAGGAGAAGAGGGTGCCAGCTTGCCAGCGAGCAAAACAGTCGGTGGGTTGCCCAGGAGGCAGCAGGGTCGCAGCAGTGTCAGTGGAGGCAAACGGCCACAGAGTAGAGCACCAGCTCCACTGCAGCCTACCACCACGGCCAGTAGTGGTGCCGTGTGCACGGAGGAAGTAGCAGTCAGCCAGTGAGGAGTAGCGGGGGCAAAGTTTCCTACTCGGCGGTGTGGCAATTTTTCGTCAAGCCGCCCGAGGAGGAAGTAAACGTAGCCGTATGTCGACTATGTGGCCAGAAAGTCAAGCGTGGCCAGGGGGCCCATGTTGGGACTACAGCGTTGCGTCAGCATATGCAGCTTCGCCATTCGGTGGCCTGGGAAAAACCGTGATAAAGATACGGCGGTTCTGCCTGCCCCAGCCCCCGCTCCATCACCCGCTCCGTTACTTGCTCCGTCACCCGACGTCAATCGCCCTCTATCAGCCAGTCAAGGCTCCAACACCTCTGCTGAGGGGAGTTGTCGCTCGTTGGCATCTTCCGCTCGTTCAGATGCTCCTTCTCCTGCTACTCCTCTTCACGGATTCCGTCAGCAGTCTTTCTTGGAATCCGTTTCCAAGAGACAACAGTTTGCGAGCACGCACCCGACGGTGCAGAAGCTGAACGTCCTCCTGTCCAAGTTGCTGGTGCTGCAGTCCCTCCCTTTCCAAGTGGTGGACTCAGCACCTTTCCGAGAAATGATGGCTTGTGCCGAGCCGCGGTGGAGAGAGTGCCAAGCCGGCATTTCTTCGCCAAAAAGGCAGTGCCAGCCCTGCATTCACATGTAGAAGAGATGGTGGGCCAGTCTTTGAGCATGTCGGTCTCTGCCAAAGTGCACGGCAGCGCCGACGTGTGGAGCTGTAACTACGGTCAGGGACAGTACATGTCATTTACGGCCCACTGGGTGAACGTGGTGCCGGCACAGCCGCACCAGCAACTTGGACAGGTCACGCCGCTTTTGCCTCCACGTTTGCACGTCCTTGGTCCAGCAAAGATGTCCGCCTCTACCCCTCTTCTTCCGCCGTGTCCTCAGCCGCCACCCCCGTGCCAAGTCCCATTACCCGACCGGCATATCACATGTGCAGGGCGCAACGGTGTCACGCTGTGCTGCACCTGGTATGCCTTGGCGAACGTAGTCACACAGGGGAGGAACTTCTGAGTGTAATGAACAGAGAAATCGACAGATGGCTGTCTCCGCGCAAAAACTGAAAATCGGAACCATGTTTACCGACAACGGAAAGAACATGGTGTCTGCTCTGCGTCAAGGAAGGTTGTGCCATGCGCCATGCATGGCTCACGTGTTCAATCTGGTTGTCAAGCGGTTCCTAAAATCCACCATCCCACTGCAAGACATCCTTAAAATGTCACGTAAACTTTGCATGCATTTCAGCCATTCCTACACCGCAAAGCACACCCTCCTTGAGCTGCAGCGGCAGAACGGAATTCCACAGCATCGCCTGATCTGCGATTGCAACAAGGTGGAATTCAACCCTACATATGTTAGACCACCTTTACGAACAGCGAAAGGCCATCACCGATTTCCTGATGTTACAAGCGGATAAAGGTACTCCCCTGTGTAACTTAGATGTCAGCCATTGGCAGCTCATGCGTGACACCTGCCGCTTGCTCAGGCCCTTTGAGGAGGCCACGCTATTCGTGAGTCGGCAGGACTATGGGATGAACGACGTCATTCCTCTGTTGCACGTCCTGGAACAAATGCTGTTAACAATGGCTGGTCAGGGTGCGGTAGACGTGGCGCACAGATCTCAACGCCACATGACCCCTGTGGGGGGGAGGACAGGAAGAAGAGGAGGAGGTAGAGGAGGACATTGGTGCTCAGGAATTATTGAGTGAAATGGGTGGTTTTTCCACTCAGCGGACAGGAGTGGAGGAGCAGGAGCATCTGGTAGAGGAGGAGGAGGAGGAGACAGAGGACCCAGACGCACCGTGGCAGTATGCTGTGGAGATGGAGGCAGGGAGTCCCTCGCATTCCTTGGCACAAATGGCCCATAGCATGCTCGGTTGCTTGCGTAGCGACAGCCGAATAATAACCATCAGACAGAGGGATGACTTTTGGCTGTCCACCTTGTTGGACCCTCGCTACCGTTCAAAAATGGTGGCCTTTTTCACACCTGCTGAGAGGGAGGCCAAAATAAAGTACTATAAAAACCACCTATGTAGTCAGTTGGTCTCTGCCTTTCTGCGCCAACGTCCATCCTCAGACACTGTGGGCCCTGTGCGCTCGCGTTCCGCTGCCATGGCAGCAGGGGAGGGGTGGGGTGGTAGGAGCAGTGGCAGCTCCACCAGCAGCGGCTGCCTCAACTGCAGTCGATGATGAGTAGCTTTCTTCACCAGCGCAGTGAGGATAACTACTACTAACCAGCCGCAGCAGCAGCAGCATCAGGTGGACCTGGAGCAGGACCTCAAACAACAGGCTCGGGCCTACTTGGACAGCACCCTGCCAACCGAGGTAGACAATCCCCTTGACTACTGGGCAACGAAACTTGACCTTTGGCCCCAACTAGCTGAATTTGCCCTTGAAAGGCTGTCATGCCCGGCCAGTAGCGTGGCATCGGAGCGCGTGTTTAGTGCGGCAGGAGGTATTGTAACTCCGCGGAGGACACGACTGTCCACCCAAAGTGTGGAGAGACTCACGTTTGTGAAAATGAATCAGGCGTGGATTAGTCTGGATTTCAAACCACCAGTTCCTGACACAACTGACTAAATCCGCCATGAATCATGCCCCAAACATCTTATTATTTTTAACATAGGCCTCTGTATGGCCTTCAATTTAAGCTGCTTACGCTTCGCCACTCTGCCATGGGCCCCTGTACCGTCTCCTCTTGCTGCTGCCAGGTCCAGAGTGTGTCATGGGTCCCTGTACGGCCTCCCATTGCTGCTGACTTCATCGCCAGACTCTGCCATGTGCCACTTTCAGGTCTCCTTACACTGTTGGTGGGTTCCATTTTGTGATAGGGTGCTGTATGGCCTTCCATTGCTGCTGCCTCCACCGCCACCCTGCGCCATGTGCCTCTGTCGTCTGCTCACGTGCTGACGGCTTCCGCTTTTTAACCGAGGCCTGTGTTTGGCTTCCGAATACTGCTGCATCCACCGCCACCCTGCGCCATGTGTCTCTGTCGTCTGCTCACGCTGCTGACGGCTTCCGCTTTTTAACCTAGGCCTGTGTATGGCTTCAGAATAATGCTGCCTACACCGCCACCCTGCGCCATGTGCCTCTGTCGTCTGCTCACGCTTCTGCCAGGTCCATACTGATTCATGGCCCCCTGTACCGGCTCCTCATGAACGTGGTTCAGCGGGTTTGCATCACTTAACGGCAAATCGTTGACAAACGCTGGGACGTTCAGTGTTGTGCGCGCATTAAGCCAGACACCAAAGGGCAGCACAGACCTGTTATTACTCGCTCAAGCATGGCTGAACAAAACCAGTCTCTACCACAAATTTGGACCCAGACCTGCCCAGGGTCTCGTAAGTAGATTGCACGGAGGAGTAGAGTTCGTTATTGGAATTAACTGTGAGGGACTTTTAAACCTAGGCCTGTGTATGGCCTTCAATTGAAGCTGCTTCTGCTCCGCCACTCTACCATTGGACTCTTGATAGTCGACGACTATTAGTCGTCTCCCCACGCTGCTGCTGGGGGGACTTTTTAACATAGGCCTCTGTATGGCCTTCAATTTTAGCTGCTTACGCTCCGCCACTCTGCCATGGGCCCCTGTACCGCCTCCTCATGCTGCTGCCAGGCCCGTAATCTGCCATGGGCCCCCGTACCGACTCCTCATGCTGCTGCCAGGTCCAGAGTGTGTCATGGGTCCCTGTACGGCCTCCCATTGCTGCTGTCTCCATCGCCACACTCTGCCATGTGCCACTTTCAGGTCTCCTCACACTGCTGGTGGGTTCCATTTTGTCATAGGGTGCTGTATGGCCTCCCATTGCTGCTGCCAGGCCCGTAATCTGCCATGGGCCCCGTACCGACTCCTCATGCTGCTGCCAGGCCCGTAATCTGTCATGGGCCCCTGTACCGCCTCCTCATGCTGCTGCCAGGTCCAGAGTGTGTCATGGGTCCCTGTACGGCCTCCCATTGCTGCTGTCTCCATCGCCACACTCTGCCATGTGCCACTTTCAGGTCTCCTCACACTGTTGGTGGGTTCCATTTTGTCATAGGGTGCTGTATGGCCTCCCATTGCTGCTGCCTCCACCGCCACACTGTGGCTCCACACTCTGGTTTTGGCCCCGTGACTGCCCAAATGAGTGAAGTGTGCGGTGATTCTAAGATCGACGGCACTCATCTGCATGTCATACTGACTGACAGTATTATTTCTCTTCCCCAGCAGACTCCAAGGGCATTTAAATTAAAGGTACAGTGTTCTGCACTAATATAAAGGCTCTCTGAAGCCTAGAAACACCCTTTTTACACGTTAAATTCGCAGCGAATATATTCGCCTCGAATCGAATTTATTCCGCGAATTCGGCGAATGCTCATCTCTAATAGTAAAGCATGCTTGCTATACTCACTGTAAGTAAGAATATTTGAATTATTGTGGTCGCCAAATAAAAATTGTGTATATGTTAGTGAAAATACTGTTAAAATCACACTACATAACAATATTTCAGCTGCCCCTATAAAGTGAAACCAACATTTATGTGAATAACAAAAATGCTCTATGACAGGTTCTCCTTGCTCTTGGTAGAATGTTGCCCAGCCACTCAAATAAAACAGAGATTAAGCCATTCTAAGTGTAGAATTTATTAGTAATATTGGGTTTAAAATGGAGAAATTTACACTCACATATAAAGGTGTCTTGTTGAACGGCACCAGCATGTACAGCTTAATGATCCAAAAAGATGGGTGATGTGCGTTCCAAGCCTCGCTCTCGCTCAGCCAGACATGACATCACTGGAACCCGATGTGAAGGAATCACGCTTCTACGTACGTTTTGCCAGGCAGCATCATCAGGAAGACTTCAGATAGACAAATCTTGATGTACTGTAAACAACAGTGTAAAATATATTAAATATCTTACATTTGGTGAGAATATTTAACAAAATGATTATTAATGTTGATTTACCTGATAAAAAGGTTTGTACGTTAAAGCAGACAGAATGTAAACTGTACAGAACACAGGAATGCATGAGAATTTGTCCAAAGATTCTGTTAATTGTCCAAACTATTAAATCTTTAGTGAAATGAAAATGTAGTATTGCGCTCACAACCTTCCAATCTATATAACTAAACAATAAAAAAATGTGTATATGATATACATAGATGACTATTTGTGAATCTATTGAAATCCACTCTCATCAGCAAAATTCAAAAAACAGTGAAAAATTACTAAATAATCATAATATAATATAGTATAATAATAATGTCCCACAGAAAAATTAGTGACTTTGTGCTGAAAAATCTTCAATATCTTTAAATAGGTGACTGCTTGTGCCTCCTCCCTCAAGTGAAGATGTGCGCTCACCTCATAGATAGCCTGCAATTAGGCTATTAAAGCTTGCGGTTCACCTCCTTTGGAACCTACTTGTATAGGAACTCCTGTTTATAAGATAACCATGAGATGCGACATGTGCTTGGAAAAATATCCTCTCACTGGGTGCCACTCCAATGTCTTCTTTTATCCATGCGGTTCTCCATATATAAGAAAAATCCTGACATGGTGCTTTATCGTTTTAAAAGCTTTAATGAGTAGCTGACAGGTGGCACTCAATAAATCGTATAGTGGTAGTACAGCTGTCTCAGACCTCCGCTGACTGTTGGAATTGCGCTCGTGGTCCGATGGCCGGACTGACTCCCTGAGTGACGTGAACAGTCCCACCCCCTATTAAATCTTTAGTAATTATATGAAGAACCTTGAGGAACAAATTGACTCCAAAACAAATCTTTTGTTCAGACTACAGAATGACAGTAAACAGGTTGCTATGATAACAAACACAGATGACAAACTGAGTGGTTCAAGTCCTACGCAAATAGTTATAACCTTTCAAATTATCAAAGAAATCATGTATTTCATCTGCGGGTGCCTGTTATTTTGTTAAACAAATTAAAATCATCTGTTATTGATGAGGAAGAACAGGAGAGACATTGGCCCTGATTTACTATTGTGCCTGGGCGCATTTCCGTGGACGAACGTCTAATTTTTATGAGCGACCGTCTACTTTTACCCCAGAATGAGATTTACTATTGAGCAGCATCCATAAGTAGGCGCCCAATCGAATTTACTAACGAGACACACACCCCGTAATCAGACTCACAAAGCAGACTTGCTAAGAGGCACGTCTAACACCATGAAAAATCACTGCAGAGACATGTTCACTTTGAAATTTGCTTTGCCAAATATCAGGACTTCACTTCAAACAATATCTGCCATTTCAAAAAAAATTAAGAATGTGTTAAAAATAGTTTTTCTAAAGCAAATCAACACAGTAAAAAACTAGACGCCCGTGCAGTATCTTTGGCCGATATAACTAAGCATGTGCAGAACACATTTTACATGTCCTCTGTGGGCACTTGCTTTTTAGTCACTGCTCAATAGTAAATCTCAGTGTGGATTCCTCTGACAGCCGGAACTCGGTCGCGTCTACTGTGTTTAACAAACAGCACTAAGCATATCTTTATGTATTCTAATTTGATTTCCTTAGTTCAGGTTATTTTATTTTTTTTCTTATCCTTTATAATTATTTCTGTAATGATTTTACTTATTTCGAAGGTCTAGATAATATTTATTTTGACAGCTGAATGTAAAAATAAATAAATAAATAAAAAAAAAACAGCGTGGGTCCCCCTTCTCATCTATACCAAGCCCTTCAGGTACCTTCGGGTACCGAAATAGGAGGAGAATCCTGTACTCTAATGCCTCGTGCTGTTATAAGCATGGACCATGGCTTCAACCCTGGGGATCCAGGTATGCTTGTCATCACTCTGTAGGGTACCTAGCATATCAAGCAAAGGCTTCTTAAATCTCTCAGTGAGAGCAACACCTTCAGGGTGATTGGGGGGGGGAACTTTTGTTAATGTTCAGCAGCTGAAGTAACTAATCAGCTTGCTCTCATAATCTCTGCCTTGATCTGAATGTAACCTGTAGGGTAAGCTGTAATGGATGAATTATTTCTCCCAAACCACTCTCGCAACTGTAACTGCTCTTTGATATTTAGTAGAAAAAGTTTGGGCATGTCAAATAATTAATTATAAATAATTACTTAAATCGTAGCTTCAAACAGATAATCATGTAACTTATCAACAAAGGCCCACTTAAGTGGCAGGAATGCCAACTTGTGGACTGGATAGTCGCCCTCACTAGGAGTGAGGCTTCCGCTGATTAAGGCTATTGGTCATTATCCAACTGGATACTCCGTACAACACTCCATCTAATCCTTCAAAGCTAGCATCCACATCGAGCACATGTGTTTTTTTGGGCATTCTCTTGACAGCACACACTAATCTTCAACAAATCATGAAGAGCTTTGGCCACTTTTGAATACCTGTTGACAAATCTGCATTAGTAATAATTTTCTTTTTACCATGCAGTGGGGCTGTGCCCCCACTGCGTGGATCAGCTGCTTTTTTTTTCTAGGGGTGAGGACAAAGCTCATACTCCCCTGACCCGCCAATCCTCTGTAAAACCATGCTCCCCCATGGTCCAGCGGTGGACTGTTCCTGTCTATTGAGTGTGCATTGAGCATGCTGACATCAGGAATAGTCAATTTACAAGACCCCGTGGGGGGGGGGGGGGGCAGAAGGCAAAGGGACCAGTCTTGTCCGGGGAGGAGGGCAGTCAGGTATGTGCACTATATTGCCAAAAGTATTTGGACACCCCTCTGAATCATTGGATTTAGGTGTTCCGATCACCTCCATGGCCACAGGTGTATAAAATCAAGCATCTAGGCATGCAGACTGCTTCTACAAACATTTGTGAAAGAATAGGTAGTTCTCAGGAGCTCAGTGAATTCAAGTTTGGTACCCTTATAGGTTGCCACCTGTGCAATAAGTCCATTCATGAAATTTCCCTGCTACTAAATATTCAACAGTCAACTTTTAGTAGTATTATAACAAAGTAGAAGCAACTGGCAACAACAGCAACTCAGCCACATAGTAGTAGGCCACGTAAAATGATGAGTGGGGTCAGTGCATTCTGAAGTGTACAGTGCGCAGAAGTCGCCAACTGTCTGCAGAGTCAATAGCTAAAGACCTCCAAACTTCTTGTGGCCTTCAGATTAGCACAACAGTAGTGCATAGAGAGCTTCATGGAATGGGTTTCCATGGCCCGAGCAACTGCATTTAAGCCTTACATCACCAAGTGCAATGCAAAGAGTAGGATGCAGTAGTGTAAAGCATGCCGCCACTGGACTCTAGAGCTGGAGTGAAGCATCACACTTCTCTGTCTGGCAATCTTATGGACGTGTCTGGATTTGGCAGTTGCCAGGAGAACAGTACTTGCCTGACTGCATTGTGCCAAGTGTAATGTTTGGTGTAGGAGGATTATGGTGTGGGGTTGTTTTTCAGGGGTTGGGCTTGGCCCCTTAGTTTCAGTGAATGGAACTCTTAAGGCGTCAACATACCAAGACATTTTGGACAATTTCATGCTCCAAACTTTGTGGGAACATTTTGGGGATGGCCCCTTCCTGCTCCAACATGACTGGGCACCAGGGCACAAAGCAAGGTCCATAAAGACACAAATAAGCGAGTTTGGGGTGGAGGAACTTGACTGGCCTGCACAGAGTCCTGACTTCAACCTGGCAGAACACCTTTGGGATGAATTAGAGCGGAGAATGCAAGCAAAGAATGGTCAAACATTCCCATAGACATATTCCTTAACCTTATGGACAGCCTTCCCAGAAGAGCTAAAGCTGTTATAGCTGCAAAGGGCAGGGCCAACTCAATATTGAACCCTATGGACTAAGACTGGGATGCCATTAAAGTGTGTGCAAAGGCAGGCGTCCAAATACTTTTGGCAATATAGTGTATATCTACGCTGTCCTCTCCCCTAGAACAAAACAAGCAGTAAACCTGTGCAGTAAGGGCACAGCCCCACTGCACGGGAAAAAAAAAACATTTGCCCAGAATTCTCCTTTAACTCTGTAATATTCTTTTTTGTAACTCTTTACAACACTGACTACTTACATACAATACATATTGATACTGAATTGACAACTCAACATGTTCAGTGTAGCTCACCTATTCAAGTCACAAACTATGGTCACTCGGACATTGAAACAAAATTCATTAGAAAAATATTACCTTAAATCTACTGATTAGTCCTAAACAATGAACTGCAGATGCGTATACATTGCAAAAGGTTAAGCAAACCTCCATGTAGTCAAAACCCTGTGAGCAAGGCACATACAGATGCAAGAACACAGCTATCTCTCAAAATCCAAC